CAATATGAACACCACGCCCTAGACTGTGAAGATGCTCTAGAGCAGTATGATAACATCGCCCCAGACCATGAAGATGCTCCAGAACAATATGATAACATCACCCCAGACACTGAAGATGTGCTAGACCATTATGATAACCTTACCCTAGACCATGATGATGCTCTGGATCAATATGAGCACCCATCCCCAGATGGTGAAGATGCTCTCGACCAATATGATAACCTCACCCCAGATCATGAAGACACTCTTGACCAATATGAGCACCACAATCCAGATCATGAAAATGCTCTAGACCAATATGAGCACCATATAACAGATCTTGAAGACTCTCTAGACCAATATGAGCATCACATCCAAGACCGCGAAGACATTCTAGACCAGTATGAGCACCATGATGACTATGAATTTGAAACTCAAGAGCACCCCAGTATAACTCCCTCCCTATTTCACGGCTTATCAAAAATATCAGAAGATGAAGAGGAGTTCAGTCATGGTTTAAAATGCAATACAAATGATTCAGAGTCTTCAAAAGTAAATACTAATAAGAAAGTTCCTCCTGACTACTGTGTAATTCAGGAGACAAAGAGTGAAAATGTCAGTACAGAACATGTGGATTTTCGGGTTGCAAGAAAGCAATGGCTAAAAATGGAAGAGGAGACAAAATACCAGATTTATCAACCCACTTTTAGGCAAAGAACATGCCAGGGAGGACACAACTCCATGTACACCCCCGTTAGAAATATCAACAGATCAAAGAAAGAACCAGAGTTGGACTCTACAGCACTGAATGATTATTCTCAGACTCATCTCAGCCCATGCTCAGAGGACTCTGGCCTTGATGATTCCAGCTACAGGTCTCCTTGTGATGATGAGAGCCCAATTGAAAGGGAAATTCGCTTAGCTATGGAACGCGAAGAGAACCTGAGACGGGAGCGGGGAATTTCCAAAGTCTACAATGCCAATGAATGCACACAAGCTACTGGCAAACCAGTCATTCTTCAACCTGGAAAAATTGACAGAAGACTGAATCAGGAGATTGAAGAAAGGAGAAAGATGTTTGAGGCAAAGGAAGACAATTGCAGATTCCCAAAGTCCCCCAGCATTAAAACACCATCCTTCATCATTACCTCCTCCCCGTCAAAAGGCCAGCTGTGCCAAGAGGTGTCAGGCAATAGCGTGATCATCTTAGAACCTGAGCAATACCCTTCCAGCCCAACACGCTGCAAGAAAGACACCAATCCATTAGCAAAGAGAGCCAACGAGTGGCCATCAGATGTGTCCAACGTCGTCATACTGGAGGCTCCCGCCATGATCACACGCAGCTCGTCCGAGTTCTGCCTGAACTCGGTCTGCCAGGATACTCAGGACAGCACGTTTCTGAACAACCCCTTCTTCAAGTTACGTTCCAGGAGCACCCAGTCCCTGATTGATGACGAGATAAAGATGGTCAAGCAGAGAGAGGAGGAACTGAAGAAGCAAAGGGAAAGTATATATGCTAAAGATAAATGCAGCACAACACTAATGTCACCAAATGCACTGGATAGTCTGGCCTACAATAAGTCAGGTATTTAAGTCATAATTTTATATGATTTCGTGTTCATTTATCGATCAAATGGTGTGAGTATGATCTGCGTTACATTAGTTTATTTATCTGTTACTTGCTTCTATACAGATGTGATTTAATTCCCTGATTATTCTCAACAGAACTTCCAGTGAAATGTAAGTCTTCTCCCTCCTCCCCAATGAAGTCAGCCTGCAAGGTGGATCATTCCTGTGAAAACAAAGTAAACCATCTTTGCTCGTAATCCTCTCCTCTATCGCGATGTCACTGTCTTTGAATATGGTTGCCGTAATGAATAAAAACAACCACGCTAATGTTGACTAAATCCTGACAGTGTGGCTGTTCTTAGACCAATCACGAAGAGTCAGCATGTTCATTACCTTGATTTAACCAAAAACCGTCTGAAGTTATCCAGGTGAGTCTCTTTCTTAGTTCACTCTTTCTGGAGTTTGACGCAAGCTGTACGCTGGTAGGGGTAATGAGTTAGACAGTCGTGCTAAAAGTATTGGAGAACGTCGGCCATTGGCCAAAACATCTGTACTTTGAGCTTAATTTCATGAAACTGCAGGGCAGATGTCATGTATATCAACACTTACTGCTTGTGTAATGTCATTGCTACATAGTTAATACGCGGATAAGCCAGAACAAAGTATTGTGCACATGGCAGATACCTGGTTGTTGAATGCAGTGTTTAGTCCACAGTTATTTATGTTGGTGTTCATGTCCATTAAAGACAGAAGTATTTTAAATGCATCCCTGGCTACATAGGAAATACTTATTGTATTTTCTCCATTCTTAAATGCATTTTCAAGAGACATTAAAATTAGTATACATATAATATATATTGTATGTTTAAACTATTCATATAGCTGAAAATTAGTACTGTATAGGTTTTCTCATTCTATTATGACAATAGAGGTGACACAATTAAACTTTTTTTATCTTTCACCTTCAAATAATCATAATTGTCCCTTTTGTACTTTATCTATATACATGCATACAAATGACAATTGAATGCATTGCAATACGTATTATAAAATTCCTCCTGTTCTATGCTGTATTTTATGTCCTGTCGTCCTGCTTTTGTAAACTTGAATTGCCCAACAATATTTAACATAAAGCAATGCTTAATTTTTATATAATTAGTACAAAATAAAGTTACAATATTGACTCATTTTTGACTATTTTTCATAATGCATGTATTTATATTTGACCGCTTTCTCCACACGATATATTCAAATAAGCATTTGCATATAAAGGTAATGTTTCTTGGTAACTTTTTTGTGTTTGTTTGGAAGGGCTGCTAATATACGAAAACGCTGAAAGGTTCCTTAGCTTTGGCGTAGTCTGACAATCCTGAATACGTCTCATTTCCTTTACAAATGTTTTTGTGTGCTTTGTTCTGTAGTGAAGACGATTTCTATTAAATGCTCCGGCTTTGCTTGCTTAGCTTCGAATTTTAGCTACCCACGTCTGTACGAACGAATCCGTGTCTAATGCAGAGCCGCCACAATTGCCTTCAGTGTTATTTTTTTCTTTTGTGTTGTATTTTTAATTCAAGTGCTGAAAAAAACCACATTGAAATAAAGATTTATGAAGCATATGAGAGTAAAACTGTGTTATTTCCAATTTGTTAAGTATGGACCTACTTAAATATTTAGGGTAATTCTTAATGAGGTCTGGCAGCATTTTAAAATTGCAGAAACTTAACGGAGTTGGGCCTTCGCATTTATGCCATTTCCTGTTAGTTCCAGTAACCATCCCAATACAATTTAGCACAAACTACAGGATACCACGCAGTGCTCTGTGAAATAGTAATTATTTATAAAATTCAACAAATTAATCAAGAATGAAAATTATTACAGTGCGTGCAAAATTTCTAAATCGTTAAAAATTCCTTCTGGAAACATATCATAAAGGCAATTCTTATATCCTTTCAAGTGAGGCAAACCAGCCATTACTGGCCCTTTCACACCAAGCCCCGCCGGAACCAGTGCTCGGCAGGACCTGGGCTGGAGCTCACATCGGCACCACCAAACCCGACTCGCGTTCACACTGCACTAAAGTGCAGTAAGGGTAGAATGATGACGTCAGTGTGTGTGTGTTGCTGAGGGAGGGCTACTATTTCGGAAGTGAATATTAAAATGGAGGACCGTGAGATGCAATGAACACAATGTGCAATATGCATTAATGCACTACTTTAGAGTGAAAACAAGAACAGAATGAAACATTTTGGTAAACTTCTTTTTAAAAATACGAATAATCAAGAAATATGTAAATCTTTCATGCGGAATAAATGAATATAAAAAGTGATGCTGGCGCAGTGGGGTATTCCACAAAGCTGGATTTCCCAATTAGCTGAATAACTTAAGCTACACGTACGTGAAAGCTATTCAACAGAAACAGAGGTGAGTGACATTCCTATTGGACGATTCTTGCATTTGGCTTAAGTTATCTGGCTAATGAAGATAACGATATCTTGAGGGTGTTCCACAAAGCAAGATTTCTCTCCAGTAGGATTGCTCCCTACCTAGACCCTTATTGGACAATCATAAGTTCTAGCTTAAATTAACCCAGCTGAGACATCCTGCTTTGTGGAATACTCCGCTGGACTCTGCTTATGGTGATAAATGAATCCCCTTTAGGCAGCCTATTCAATTTATGTTTTTATTTGCATATCTTACAGTATTGAGAGAGAGAGAGAGAGAGAGAGAGAGGGGATCCACAAGAAGCTAATTTCCCCCCAAACGATTATAATGATTTATATTTTATATATTATATATATTGTGCCTTTTAAACGCAACACTCAATATAAGTAATTATTGTTTGTTAAAATCAAGATCAATTTCCACCAGATAGTGTGACGCCCTAGCGCCCCCTTTTGGACAGCCACAGCATCTTTTTTTTGGTCTCCATGTATCACTCCCCAGAAGGGGTTAGCAGAATAAAAAGTGTGTTAGCCAAAGTAGGGGAGACTAGAGGCAGTGCAAACAGTTAGGTGAGTGCAGTATGGAAGCTCCAGCAGATATGGCTATGGCAGCATAAGTAGGAGGGAGACGCAGGTGGGATCGCAGGCATGGGGGGTCCCTGAAATGTCAGCTCTCCAATTCCACAAGGGGGTGTGAAGCTAGAGTAGAGTGACAGCACTGACAGTTCAGTTCATCCAAAGCCAATGGCACCGATCCCCACCCAGCTCTACACCTCACACTATTGGTCTAACTGGGAGTGAGCAGTTAGCTAGAGCTAGAACTAGGGTCGCTGTAAGCCAGACTAAACAGGCTTATTCAACTTGCTTAAAGCCACCTCTGCTGCCGTCCATGACACAGTATGCATCCTTATCAATACCTGCACCAGCAATGACCCTCAGTACACTTCTGACATCGCTCTGGTCGAAACAGAGTGAGACTGCAGCAGCAATGGAAGCGGAAACAGCCCAGCAGAGGATGCAGAGATGCCAGAGGCTGCTCTCTTCATGTATTTATTTATTTGCTTATTGTTTCCCAAAATATTTCAAGATTTACAATAAAGCACTTTGCACAATAATCCATAGTACTTTGCAAATGTCTCCACATCAGTTCAAAAACATGCCTTGACTTACACTAGGAAACAACACAGGTTTAATAAAGTATAGGTACTTTATTTTATTAAAGCAATATAGGAAAGTGTAAAAATTGCAGAAGTTAAAAAAATAATAATAAATTGTGCGCTGGAGCTAATCTGTGTAAAAATACTGAATCACCCTAGACAGTAGTCAGACAAAACTATATATTTCTTAATTCTCACCTCTGGCATGTACAATCTTACTATTATCTAATACTTACATACTTCAGGTCTGAAGTATATCTGTTACAGACTTACACAGTGAGAATCATTTTTCTGGTAAGATTGACAGTATAACTGCCTTTTAGACTTTGCACGTGTACCAGTGATTAGTATATTATAAACACTGGTAGCATAAGGCAAAATACAAATCCCTAGTTGTTTTACCAGTTTGTCTTTTACATTTTACATATTTAACAGACGGTTTTGGCCAAAGTGACATACAAGTGAGGTAAATAGCACATTGCAAACATATCGGCTTGTCAAGGAGTCACCTGGGCATAAGGTCAGCTAGGCTGAGCTCACAATGAATGCCCAGGTACAAGAGTAAGCAGTATTGGAGCAGGAGCTATATGACAACTTTTAAAAAAGAAAGAATCTGGTTCAAGCACCAGAAGTGTAACATAAGAACATTGAGGGGAACATCAAGGCATCTGGCCTTGAGGTGTTTCTTGATGGTAGAAATGGAGTCTGATGACCGGACGTGGTTTGGCAGCTCATTCCACCACCAGAGAACCACACAAGAGAACCATCTGGAGTGACACTTCTCTCGTGGTGGAGGGAGCTCCAAGCAGTGTTGGTTTGCTGACCAAAGGGGGCAAGATGGGACATAGATCTTGAGGAGATGGATGCCTTTCCATTGATGGACCTGTAAGCCAGCACCTGGAATTGACCTGAACCTTGACGTGGTCATACCAAAAGCATGGCATGACATGGAAATGTCATACCTTGCTCTGTGCCAGTGGGATTTAGCTCCAAATCTTATGCAGACAGCAGATTTGAACAGAGAATTGCTTGTTAATCAATCAGCATCACCGCTTTTTGAGTGTAGGGTTTAGCTCTTCTTTCGACTCAGAATCTAGTTTGTAGGGCTGCATTTAGCTTGTTTTGTGTTTTACTCTTGGGTTAGGATCAAGGGTGCTGACATGGTTACTGGCTTTGTAGTGAGGGGTGGAGGGTCTTGTCAAGTTTCTAGTCCTGATTAGCCATCATCTTGTTCCTGGGTCTTGATGAGCTGTAGTTCTGTAGCTGGTCTGCTAGGCAACTAGAAGCTTGCTTGTAGGTTCGTTGTGGTTTGTCCGTTTTTGTGTTTTCCTGTTTCATGTGTACTGGTTCCTGTGTCTGGTTTTCAAAGTCTCAGCCCTTGAGGCTGCCTTCTTGTGCATCCCATCCTGAAGCCACCCATCCAGTCAGCAGCCTCCCAATTCCCAATTTGTTACACATTTCTGCAATGTGCCGTCCAGTGGGCAGAAAAGCTGGGATTTTGGATGGGTGGGCCACTTTGGGGGATGGGGTATCCTGATTGTTAAAGCTAATAAATGTATTTTTTTTTACTTAGCTCTCTGAGTTCCTGTTGTGACAGTAGGGCAGCCTGGGAATTCACATTTCAGGAAGATCTGCATTTAAAACACCCAGCTAAGGGTTTCTGTCACATGTTATTTATGGTATATAAGAGTACACTCAGGAATCCAATGTTTCCACATAGGAAGACTGTGAGAACAACTTTTCTAAATTGACTTCCCTGAAACGAGAGATTTTATTTTAAAAATGTTACATTAAGAAGCACGGTAGTTTATTATTCTCCAGAAGGATTAAAACATTCAGTGTCGATGTTTTACCTTATCGTCCCTCACGGACTGACCAGGCTGACCGGACAGGATTGCCTCTTGATCTGTAGAGTTACTCGTCCCTGTGAAGATTCAGGAGTAACCTGCTTGATTCACGGGATTATTCTCTTAATCCTATTTAATCTTCTTTAATCTATAAATGCATATCCATTACAGGATCTCAGTGAGAAACCTAGGATACCCTAGATCAGGGCTGCCTGACCCAACTCCTGGAGATCTACCACCCTGCAGAGCTTAGGTGCAGCCCTAATTTAACACACCTGATACAGATGATCAGGCCCTTCAGTAATATCTCAGTTCTACAGCCCACTTAGCTTCAGCATAGCTGCTTCTAATACTGAGATGCTATAGAAAGGGCCTGATTATCTGTATCAGGTGTGTTAAATTAGGGCTGCATCTAAAGCTCTGCAGGGTGGTAGATCTCCAGGAACATTGGGCAGTCCTGCCCTAGATTAAATGGTGGTCCAAGGCAGTGCATGGTGGGCATGTTCAGTGACAGCAAACTACCTTTGGACTCATGAAAACCAGAGAATGACATTCCAATTCCACACTGCAGAGCCAGAGACCGAAATCAAACCCTCAACGCTTGAGGGGTTCCACTGTACCATGTCATTTATTATTAAAGGCATTTCACTCAATGGTGTTCCCCATGCATAACAATTTTACTAAGATTTCACTCCATCCAGAGTGCGTTACCTTCCAGCTCCAAACCTGTTCTCATTGAAATGAAGGTAAATCTGTATCAACTCAATATTCTACTAAGAAAGCCAATAAGAAATTGAACCTTGACAGCAGGATAGCGAGAGCAGGGAATGGCACAGAAGATGCACCAACCTATTTTGAGAAGGCCTCTGCTGTGAAACTCCAGCAGCAGGCGTGCAGCGACTCCCCAGACAATCGACCCTGCAAGCACAGTCGTGGATCCGGGCTCAGGGAGACGCAGAGCTTGCTGATGGATCCCCAGGAACATGGTGAGGACTAGAGATAGATATTCACGGTTTACCAAGTGATTACACTGCACTAACACTCCACTCAGCAGCCTGGAATATACAGCACTGGGATTTTACAGGCATTTGCCTGCATATTAAAAAAAAAAAAGCAATTTTAAAACCCTCAATGCCAAAACTAACACTCCGTAAAGCATACCAGCCTGGGGGAAAAGAATATTTAATTTAGTAGCAATTACTGTGTGGTTCAAAGACAGCACAAACAAATTTGCACTTAGCCATTCACCTGCAATTACTTCTGCAACAGTGCCGACACTCAGATGCAGCCAGTTAAACATCCACCGTCTGAAGATAAAGATTAGGAAGAGGTCAATTATTTACCAGAGCCAGTGACAAACATCGCAAGGCAGCAGTCTTCACGAATTTGGCTACATAGAGATGTTTCAAACGGAGTTTGTTCAATTAGTTGAGAAAACACCCACTAGGCCTTACCTTTCGGAGTCAGGAGGTGGTCTACAGATTGCCATGATGGGCTGGAGGAGGGCCAGAGTCATGAGAACACAGCCCAGGTAAGGGTGAGCTCCTGCACGCTGCACAGAACCGGGCAACAGCAAGGATCAATTCCATCGTGCCAAAAACATAACAGGCGCTCGGCTGTCTCCGCCATCAGCGGTATTAATAGGAATATGAGAGTCAAACAGCACATTGCCATTCAGAAGGTTTCATGCAAAAAAAACCAGTAGACCTTTAAACAGAAAAACAATAAGTACTGATTGCGACCAACATGCATCAGTGGTCAACTGACAGCCCCTGATGCCTGGAAGAACAGTCTGGAAAAAGATTAAATAGAACTAAGAGAACAAACAAAGAATAAATGAAAATAAATGAAGATGAATAAAAATATGACATTTTTTAAACAAGCGTGAGAAACTGATAGACAAGAGTGGCCTCTGCTGGTTTTCTGGAAAATAGCACAAGAAAAATACAGCCCGACAAAATTTGCAAATATTTGGATGAATTTGTAGATAGTATGAATTTATTATAGGTTGTCACACATGACGAGTGAAAGTTATGAAACTAACATCTGAAACTCCGTACAAAGGGTCGGAATCTCCGGCCACCACATTAAAGGTCTCTAGCTTCCATCACTCGCATCATTTGGTCATGAAAAGGAGGAAATGACAGACACTGAACAACTCACTCGACTCCAGCCTCCTCTATAGACGAAGGGCAGGATGAATCCTAAAAAGGTGAGTGACACTGTGAAAATCATCAAGGCCCTGTGCACCTGGAAAAACAGCAGCAAAAACCCAGAGTGAGTAAACTCACCCTGTAACTGTGTGTAGCTGCTACATGCTAATGAATACTTCCGTGAGAGGGTAGATTAACAAGGCGTACGGCAGCATTTTGTTTACAGATACATTCTATTCTGGAGAATCTTATAGACTGTACAGTAACTGTAGTGAGTGCAAAGTGCCACGACTGCTGTAAATTAGTGTTGCCCATCCATCCACCCATATATCCATTTTCTGTACCTTCTTGTCCTATTCAGGGACACAGAGGTCAGGAGATAATCATGGAAGCTATGGCCACAAGGTAGGGAACAACCCAGGATGGGGAGCCAATGAATTGTAGGTCACACACACACCATTCACACAATTTGATAACTAATTCGCCTTTGTATGTTTTTGGACTGTGGGGTGAAACCAGAGTACAGAGTAGAAAACCCCACAATGACAAAGGCAGAGCATGCAAACTCCACACACATGGAGCCATGATGGAGACTCAAACCCTGGTCCCAGAGGTATGAGGCCACAGTGCTAACCGCTGTGCTACAGTACCACTCACCCATCAGTGTTTTCATAAATAAATATTTTACTGGGAAAAAAACATTAGTAAATTATCTCTGTTGCTAAACTTTTAGGGAAAAAAAACGAAGCCAACCTGAAACCAAACAGTCTGTCCAAACAGTGCACTGTCAGGCCACTCATCTCTAAAATAGCGTGCTATAATAACTCCAGCACTGACAGATGTCATCCAGGCAATAAGCATAAGCGATCCTGTTGGTATGAAAAGAGAAGCAGTTATTTCTAAACTGAAAAACTTTTTCAACCTAAATCACAATCTGACAGGGCAACACAGTCTTTTGTAAAAAGGCTAGCAAAACATTTAATTGCAGTACCTCAATTATCTCAATTACAACCAATTACACACACAAGCAACAAATGAAAAATATCCTACATGCATGCTAATGAAAACAGAGCACTATAATTATTTTAAAAGGACTGTGAGTTACCCTATTTTTTGTATTTAAAAAAAACATTTGATTTATATGTCACCTAGTTTCCTGGCAAAATATTACTTTAGCAAGTACAATTTCACAGATTCATAAGTGATAAACATGGATTCATCTTTCTTGTGAAGGTATAACTAGCTATAATTATATTCCAAAAAGAAGGTGTGATTCAACCTTTTCATGTTCTGTTTATTGGCTGATGAGACCATACCTCATAAAGTGGCATCTGGGAAATGCTTAAACCAAAAGTCCCAATGGTCACGTGACCAATAAAAAGTAAACTAGAGTCTATTCAAATGTAGGTAATCCAGCTGGGAAACTTCTCAGTGACATTCTACATTCACCTAAACCAGTTCAGCTACATACAATGAGCCTGCCATGATGTACAAATGTAAACAAAATAGGTTAAACTAAGTTAGCTGATGCATCCAACCAGAGCAAGGTCACGTGTTAATACAAGAGCAAACTTACCATGAAACTTCATTATCTCTGGTGAGCGTGAGCCAGTTAAATCCTCAGGCACTCCAGAAATTACTTTCTGATTGGTTGAAATAAGGGGCTGGCAGTCATGTCTATGAATCTTACCTTAAATTATCAAAGAAAAAGCCTGAATGAGCTTTTGCAGAGGGTGCTCTGCAGATACCTCCAGATTGTAAATGACTACACAGATTTACACATCATTATTCCCATGTCGAATAAGTGTCAGCCTCTGACATTTCAGTTAAAAGTATGATTAGTCTCATCAACTTTATGGGAGACATTACAACAAGTGACAATGGACTTTGTCTCAACCGTACACTTGGAACTAGAAAGTAATACCAGCATTATGAATGTTATCTGATTGTTAAATAAAAACAATCTGGAATGTGAATTACCCAATAACTTAGATTCCAAACATGATTACAGTAAAGCCTGATTTACAACAAGAGATTAAGACTAATGAAATTTATCCAAAGGCTCACCGTTGTTCGTGGGACCGTGAGCCATGAAGAGGTAGTAACTCTCATTCAGGAGGAACCTGCCGGGACTCTGAGGGGTGTAGATACCTCTGCGGAACCTGCACTTCATAACCCCATCAGACCAACTCCAAGCCACGTCCCTCAAGGCACCCTGAGAATGAAGAGGATGGTAACGGTCAGAAACGGCACTAAATTTGGACCTTGTATGAAGAAACTCGGGCAGATGCAAGTGTATATACGTGGGGGAGGTGCCTGGTAAATTATGAAGAGGAGAACTAGAGGATCATACACATCTAGGGTAGTTTAATAGTAATCAATCGATCTATCTTACTACCATTTATACACTACAGTTATAGGTAAATAAATAATAAATTAGCTAAATCTCAAAAGCTTTTTACAACAAAAGCAAATTTGCTGGCATATTTAAAATTATGAGTATTGGCATCTTAACCAGAAATGCATTCCTGTACCTGTATAATGTTCTCGGGGTGCGTCCGGCCTCTGAGGTACGCAGCGCTGACGTCCACACGCTTACCGTCTCTCACACACATGTACACGTCGTCATTCCCCTACAGACAGCAGCAGTACTGTCAGCCGGCCCGTTTTTCCCTCTGGGGCCCCAGCATCCACACCCAGGCTCTGATGCCAATCCCGGGCCTGTAGCCCATTCCTCAGCCAACACCAGTTTTGGTTTCCTGTTTCCCCAGTTCTGATACCTAAACACATTTTTCCTTTTTTTGTCATGACTCCTCCCACTGTTTTGTTAAACCCATATCCAGTCTGTCCTTCTCTCTAACCCCAGGGTCACATGGTTCTCTTTATAGTCCTACAGCTTCAGTGCCTAATTCATAGCTAAAAGTTACAGGAACATCAAGGGAATGATGCAGAGTGAAGTCATTATTTTTGCATAAATCATCAGTATCAGACACATATGGAGGGGGGGGGCGACCCCCCCCCCCCCCTCACCAACACAGCTGTGCCCCACCCAGTCAGCGACATGTACCCTAAGCCATGCCCCTGCCCTGTGAGCCCCTACCCCTCGAAATGTCTCTGCACAGCACTGATCAGTACCATAAAATTATTCTACTTAAAAGACTATACGAGTCCACACTGACAAGGACATGGATTCTCCCAGACGATCCCCAAACCCACCATCCATTTGTCCATCGACAATGCGAAAGACAGGTAGCCATCAGCAGGACCGCTGAGCTCAAACAGAACTGCCTCCCCCTCCACACTGAAGGAGAGGAAGAAGCAGGGCGACCCCCCAGCTGGGACACAACCAGCAGGATCCCGCAAGCAGGATTTGGTTTTTCCACACCCCTCAGAGCTGAACTGAGGCAAAAGGAACAGCAGACATTTAAGAGTGTGAAACAGGTCTCTGATGTTATCACCTTTCTCTCATGTTAGTGACTGGGTTTGGACTCACAGGTTGGGGAGGTAGAGGAGACGGTGTTGCTTGTCCTTTGTCAGTGACTGCTGTGGGATTTGGCAGGGAAGGGACCACTCCGCTCTGCGATATGACAGGACCAGGAATTCTCTCCCAGTAAACGTTGTAGTGCTGTACGACTGTCACTCTGAAATTCACATACTGTATAAGAAAAGCAGACTGAGGCCAGAAAAAATATACTATGGACACACTCCTTCCATATTCATACTAACTGCAGGGGTGAAAGTGGGTGAGGGGGTGGATGGTGGGGGACTGTTAAATTTAGTGTGATTGTCAGCGATTAGTAAATCGCCAAGGGGGGGGGGCATGGTAAATCGAAACAGAAGCACAGAGAACCGCAAAAGGAGGGCAGTTTCAATGGTTCTGGCAAAAGGGGAAAAGGGGCAGGTGCTCAGCCCCCCCCCCCCCCCCCCCCCCCCCCCCCCCCCCCCCACACACACACACACACACACACACGCCTGTAACTAAATGTCCTACAAATTACATAAGACGCCCCCCTTATGTTACAAAACTAGAGAAATAACTACTTATTCAGGTGTTGAGAATGAATACTGGGCACACACAGAAAACTGACGACAGGCGGAGAATTTTCCGGAGCATTCCAAAGAACCCGGATTTCCATCTTCTTGCCTGCACTGGTGTGGCTCACAGCTGATCCCTTAGAAACAAACGGTTTTTAAGACATTAAGTCATTTATTTTTTTCCTGCAGACTAATAAAGCTCTCCATTATCTTTGATACCCAGTTCATTTTAGTAAACATCCTCCAAACTTAACAGTAAATGCTCTAAATGTGTGTCTGTACATGCACCTGGCCACACTTCAAAAGCTGCGACTTGGCTGAATCCATGACAGTGAAGTTTCCTACTGGGCCGCCTTCAGGATTTCCAAAATCCCGAGCTTCCATAAGAAATCCCTTAAAGAATGTTGCCCCTGACAGGGTTACTAAAAGAAAAGAAAAAAACAATATATACAGTATGTGAAAAAACAATAGGGACCCAACAGCTACACCACTTTGACCCCTAAATAGAAAACTCAGACATAATGTGCTTGCAGAGACAGTCACATAATGTCAATAATGCTAATTTGATTAATCATTCAATCAGTCATTTACAGTAGGTACCTTGAATTTGATTAATCATTCAATCAGTCATTTAGGTACCTTGAATTTGATCCCCAGGGCTGAATTTACTGCTGTTCACAGTCAGTTTGTATGGAGGTGGGTCTGTACTGGAGCTATAGCCATGTTCTGGTTTCAGGCTTTCGCAAGCACTTCTTATTTTTCCATTTGAATAGGCAGCAATTGTCTTAAACAGTAAAGCTAAAACTAATGAAAGCAGAATCTTTACCCGCATCTGGAAAAAAAGAAATGTATGGTAAAATTATTTGGTTATTCACTTCTATATGTATACAGTACATGTACCCCATCCATAACTTTTCCTAGAAATAATCATCATGTTGTGCTTCAAGTCAAAAAAGGTAAACAATGACAAAGTGGGCTGGGACATTTGGAACCATGAACTTCTCCTTCGGCATTTCCCTTGATATTTCGGACCGGATCACACGGGAGATGAATCACCCTCAGTCATCTCAAGCGTGATTTAAATGTCACAAAGGAATATTTGACACCTTTTCCGTAAGTATTGCTTTGCAGTTGGTCCACTGTGTGAACGTACTTCCGTATTCACTCAAAAAGGGAAGGACTTCAGTAAATTATATTAAAATTCTTATTCAGCACATGAGAACGACAGTTCATTTTTTTGCGGTCAAACACCATGATCCTGCTTAGTTTGAACCTGAAAAATGTATCAAATTTCAGCACAATACATGAAATGCTCCATACTTCTCTGAAGAGCACCTGTCAAGCAGGGTCTCATTTCACTAAACGAAAATAAACAGATAAATAAATAAAAACAGGCAAATGCATTTCTTGCCTGCGATAAATCCGCAGTATATTATAGCGCCTCGATGTTTAATAAATGGTAGTGTGCTACATTGTAGCGCCTTACCTTTCTTATGGGTCGTCATGCCCGCTTAAAGTAAAACACGGGGCGGACATAATATGGATATAAGCAAACAAAAAGGGGGCGGTCTCTTCATCAAAACGCTACAAGGCTCATTCACTGACAAATCCTCAATTAGATCTTACTTTTGATTAAGGACAGACGCCGGCGCACGTATGTGGGGCAATGTAAAATACATAAACTACCATCTGATGAAACTTTCATGAGTAAGAAAACAATTGACAAGAATGTATGTTATCACATCCAATATATATATATATATTGTTATCGCATTCAATGTGCTAGAGCCTAGTTATTGTCAGTAAACGCCCGAATTTTTTTACTTAAAAGTATAACAGAATAACATTATACAGTATGGTTTACATGTCAGCTATGTTAGTTTTGTGTCTCTTTCCGTGTTATTTTCTTGTTAAATTTCGTGGTGTAGCTACACATTTTATTCGGAATCATTTTTAATATTATAACTGTGTTACACTGTGGTCTAACGTGTAAAACCACCTACAGTATAAATTTATCTGAAATAAATATCGGCTGTTTTTCCTAGCTGAGAGGCACAGATAGCATACCGGAGGTAAACTTTGACTTAAGGTTCAGCAGGTGAAAAGTGTGGGCGGAGCATTACCGTAAAACTTGAAAGACAGTACTACCCAACTTTTTTGGTGAGGCTGTGTATTTCACCTCGGATAACTAGCATATCCATTTTCCCAGTAAATTTCACGGTTAACATTGAATTCTGCCATATATACAGTACACGGTTATGCACCACGCAGTCATCTTACTGTATGTGAGTAGAAAGGTAACCAATCCATTAGAATTTCACAAGTAACTCGTCATATCGAGAAAAACGATTCATAGAGTCTCCGTGGACTCCCCAATACAGGTTTGAATGACCATAACCCCCACATCCATAACCACAGAATTGGATGAGTGGCTACCTCTCAAATACGAAAGAACATTCTCAAGTTGGAATGGCAGATATTATGCCTCAAGGATCTAAGCGAATAAATCCCCTGCTGTAAAATCTAGATTATTCGCGCACTTACAAACCATGTGCGAAAGGTTTCACACCTGCAGTGTGGGACCGCAGTATATCATCTCTAGCGTTAAGTAAAACTTGATCAAATGCTGTAAACGAGTCATTATATTATTATTCACTTTCTTTCTCCTTGCAACAACATAACATACTGTAAATTATATTGTAAGGAAAAACGTCTTAAACCGATAACTTATAACAGATAACGTTATGACGAAAACCTTTCTCGTTATAACGAGATCATTTTCACGTTTTAAAGTTATACTTTAGCGTTATAACAAGAAAAGAATCTTGTAATGACGAGAAACTGGCGATTTTTTTTGTCAAAGTGGCATCAATCGGCCGCCGTATGACACTGCCGTACCCAATAAACAGACCTTTGTATATAAAAATAACTCGTGCCCCCGCCCCCCACACACAACACCCAAGTTTCTCCTGCGCCGTTGCGTGTAACTTCACGATAAGAATAACATTATCGTAAAATAACAGTTACTGCTTATCTAAAACAGCAAGCATTTCTAAAAAGCAGGAATTGGTTCGTTTTAAGATGACTGTAAAATGGACTCATGCTTCTATGTTCGATTAAGTCGGTTTTATTCGTATTAGTTGAAGTCTGTCTTTGAATGTGTAAGAAATAGAAAACGTGGTATTAATAGTCAAATTTAACTAGGCTATATTTTCCTATGAACTAATGTCTCGCGGAATATAAAAAGCAGTGTTGAATGAAATGGGGAAGCCGTAAAGAACAATTTTCCGACTATAACTCTTTTTCTCCGGACCCTATAAATAAAACTGTAAAAATAAATTATATTATACTTAGTTGCTTTTGCTAATATGACTCTCTATTTGTCTTATTGCATGCTTAGTAAAGCAATTAATGTTAAATACTCCAATAGCAAAGGTTCTAACAAAGGTTGCTTCGTACGTCTTCCTGCCAACTTTTAGCTGATATTGTTCATCCGCATTCATGATAATAATTAATTATTGTGTTCGCGGTTTCTATAGACATATGATAGACATATTGTTGCTACTGTCGTTCAGTGGCGGTTCCAGACCATTTCAACTGGAGGGGCAGTCTAGAGCCAGTTATTAATTTTGGACTTTTATTGATTTATTTGAATCATTAAAATGAACATGACTCCTGATGTGTATATGTAAACTGCTAACCACAACTGCATGTTTCTGCTGTTTTCCACCAAAACATTATTTTGCATAGACCAAACAGATAAAATGTTGATATACCAGAATCTTTTTTTTATTCGCCAAGTACAGAGAAATACAAGGAAATTCTTTTGGTGTGGGTGGTGTCATGACATAAGCAAATTAAACATACAACTGAACATTTACAAAAGATACAAGGACAAATAAAAAATAAAAGGCAAAAAATAAATCTTTCACAGGAGTAATGATGAGGCAAACATGTATACCATATAAATAGAGATAAATGGATAAATGAATGGATGTGATGTGAAAACAGCTTGGGTTTGGTGCAAACGAGCTCTATAAGTTAATGAAGCTTGTGCAGTGGGTGGTTAGAATATGAGACATGTAATAATTGATTTTACTGCAGCCATGTAGAACTTAGCCAAGTTCTTCTTCAGCTGACACAAGAAGTAAACAGACAGACAAAGATAGCGTGGCCAGAAACTTGACGGTTCCAGCTCTGATAACGGTAGTGTTTCATATGACCAAAGGAGATGGTGTTGGGGTTTTTTCGGAAGTCAGTGATCATTTCCACCGTTTTTTGTGTGTTTAAGTCTAATTTGTTTTCATCACACCATGACACCAGTCCACTTACTTTCTCTCTGTAGTTGGACT